AATACTATAACTAAAACATTCAAATTTTAAGATTATAAACATTGTTTGTTTAATCCTTAGACGAGGAGAATCACCAAATGAAATTTCATTGGAAACCGCCTTATATCATCAATTGATTATTTCAACATTTTCCAAAGAAACTGGCATCATTGAATCATGATTCTGTTCTAAATGACTAATTGGCAACTTTAGGATTCATGAAGTGGATATTTACTAGGATTCATGGATTTACGTCATTCCCCAGAGTATTTTCATTTAAATGATGCTAAATGAACAAACCGAAGCCAATGCTATTTCTATATACATTTTCCCGAAGAGTAAAGAGGGGAAAAAACTTGGTGCTAAGAATACGTACAGCTCCATTGTGCAGGGATTGCTCCAAGAAGCACCACACACTTAAAAATATGAAATTTAAGAAACTCACATTTATTTTACTTATATTTTGAAATTTTTCTTTATTGTTTAATAATTTCGAAATGTTAAAATCAGATATTAAGAGTTTTGCCTATTAATACGAAAGTGAAAATAGATATAAAAAATATTTGAAAATGTAATTTTTTCGTTTTTTGCCCGTTTGTCGCGTAACGTTTTCGCGCTATTTAAGGGTAATAAGATATATATATATATATATATATATATATATATATATATATATATATATATATATATATATATATAAAACAAAAGTGATTTGTACCGAAATGAAACAATGAATGAAGTGGGAAAGGTGGAACGCCATTAAAAATCGCGTTCTACCTTTCCCGCCTCATTTACTTTATTGAGTGTCTTTGGAAAAGTGTTGACCGAAAGGTTCTGTGTTATTTAAAGCTATATATATATATATATATATATATATTTTGTGTGTGTATGTGTATTTGTGTAATTAAAATTTCTCTTTTAATCGCTTTCCACCTTTCTCTCCCATTTACTTTATTAAGTGTCTTCATTTGTATTCGCAATCGCCAACGAATACCTAAGGTATGACGCCTGTGTTGTTTAAAAGCTATATATATATATATATATATATATATATATATATATATATATATATATATATATATATATATATATATATGAAATATCAGTGATATTTATAATTCAGAGTTCTTGGCTGTTATTTTTATTTAAAAAAACAGTGCTAAATACGATGTGTAGAGCTTAGTTTTACAATTATTTATTTTAAAAATATGATTCCATCGTGTCACAGAACATCAAGGCTTTTTCAAAACGGAAAAATCCAAATCGAGATTAATACTTCGATGGGTGACCACTTGAGAATATCAGGTTTTGTAAGTTCCGATGTGCATAATGAATCAGAATAGATAATCGGAGAGCTGAGTTTCAATTCTCGTTGGGTTGCGTGATATTCACTTACTCGCAAATACTCTTGGGAATCGTAGGAATCCACCTCTTCTCCCCCTAGCTATAGGTTAATTCGAATTCGTAAGACTTGTATCACTAAAACTATTATTATCTCCAACGAAAAAAAAAAAAACAGAATTGCGTACAAAATATTTGATTTCGGCATTAACTAAGACACGACGGTAGACATGACGCTAAAAGAAAAGAAAAAACTAAACAAAACAGAAACAAAACCCGATATTTAATTTAGCTTACAAAAAAGACAAAAATCCTCTTGCAAACGCCAACTCAAAAACACAGCCTTTCACTAAATAAACGACGCGTTTCACTGAGCCACAAAGATCGAAATCTGCCAACTGCTACTATGGTTCCCTCGTGTTAACTTCCGACAGGGCATACACATGCGTTGTGTTAGTATCGATTTGACAAGCGTTACGCTTCGAACGACTTTTGAAAAACGTCATGAATCACGCAGCTCCAGCCAGAATATTCTCAAAATATTCCAATACCTAACATTACTTTCCCCGTTGTCACTTCATTTTTCAATGAACATTGAACCGGTAACGTACAGAGTATATAATATAACTTTGACAGAAGGAGATTCGACCTGCGTTTGGCTGTTAGCTGAAGTAGTTAGGTTTTGCCTACTGACCCAAATAATATGTAGAGTTACACACAAACACGTATGACTGTAATATGGTCACAATTTTGAGTAGAAGCTTATGAAGCTTTCATTTACTAATTCATCTTTAACGCTGAAAAATGGTTATTTTAGTGTGATGGATGGTTACACTGAGAGGGGAGATGGGATGCGCTTGTTTTATTACGACAATCCCAACAACAATTAAAAAACCTTAAAATGCCAAGTACGAACAGGAGCTTTTTGGTTTTAATAATTGTTGCACCGGCCTCTAACACAAGGGAATTACACCGGTTCTCACTATATATAGTGCCAGTAATACCTACCCGGTGTAAGCAGCGATAGTACTACAACTGCCTAGCTGAGTAGTACCCGTTTCCTACCTTTGTATCTGTGATGTTAAATACACTTGTTCTTTAAACCAACTTCGACTTGATTTTCTTATTTTTACTATTGTGCCACGACACAACAATAATATTTTTAAGAAAAACATACAAACAAAAAAACCCTAAAAGTAAGAGTATTGATTAAAAAGACCTACAAACTTTTTCCTTATTTGTAATTCACTGTTAATACAGCGAGGTATTCTATTTTTTTAAGCATCTCACCCCAAGCAAGGCGAGAGTGACACTAGCATGCATAGGGTTACAGAAAATGAGAGCAAGAATAAAGAGGGGTTTTTGAGGAAAAGATAAAGAGAAGAACGGGGATCAAGATCAAGGCATCAGAAGATATCGATTGACATTATATTTGAATATTTATAGCTATCAGGGAAGAGAGTAAGAGGAGAGGAGTTCCACTGTCGGGAAGTGCGAGAGAAGCTGCTGTTGGAGTAGAAGAGACGGCGACATTTAACTGATTCGATAGTGAAAGGGTGAGAACGAGATGCCAACCTAGTAGCACGCTTAAATTCATGCAGTTGTGGTACCAGTAAAAGTAGCTCGTGAGAGCAGTTATCATGAAAATATTTGTAGAAAAGACAGAGGGAAGCCACCTCACGTCTGTGAGAAAGTGACTGTAGACGAGATGCCAGTCTGCATATCCGGCTTTAGATTTTAAATACACAAAATATTTTCATTAATTTTAAGCATGTTCCAAGTTAAATTGTCAATATTTTCCTCAAGTTCCTTTTTGAAAACATTTAAGTAACTTGCAGGAGCTTTCTGGTCTCAGTTATAATATTTTTTAAGAAAATCCTCAAAGCCTAAGTATTGATTTGAAAGACCTATCATGCTTTTTAACCCTTTGTTAGTACGACGAGGTTTTTGAAAAATTCACAATATATTTTTTTCTTAATATTTAGCATGTGAAACACTTTTTCCTGAATTCAGTCCAGTACTTGTAAAATCTTTGGAGAGCTACAAAATTCATATAAGCACAAAACATGATCTCTCGATGTAATGGATAGATCTATTTAATTAAATGTTTATTCATATATTCGATATTCGTTCTACCTGAAAGATAGCAATCAGTACATCAGTTTCCTTGTCCAATTGCTTGCGTCTATCTCTAACGGAAAATAGAAAGTGATTACTTGACATTTTCTGTACAAAAAAAAAAAAAAAAAAAAGGTAGAAAAATCTGCCGTTGACCTCGAGCTTAGGACGACGGCCATTTTGTTCTCCTGGTCACGTGAACTTGACGCGTTGCACACCGCAGAACGCAGCTGGTCTCGTGGCATTAAATTGAAGCGCTTTCTTTTACTAATATCGTCTGTTTCTTCCGATATTTCTTTTCTTTTTTTTTCTTCTTTCGCCTCTATCTATTATCGTTACCATTATCTCCGTATCTTTAGTTTCTTTTTGTTCCAAGATCCGCTGTAAACTAAGGAACGAAATCGACATTTCTACGCCTTTCTTGATTGGTTTTCTTGGCTCTGAAGTGTAGTCTCTGCGAGAAAGCGTTGAGAAGGTCGGAATAAAGTTGAAAGTCAGGGAGATTGTAGAACAAATGGAAAGAATGAAAAAGACCGGAAGAAGGCAGAAGAAGCTAAAGAAACGAGAGAAAGTAAAAGGTCACGAAAACAAGTATATATATATATATATATATATATATATATATATATATATATATATATATATATATATATATTTGGGGCATCCTAACGAAATATGCTATAAATGAAGAAAAGAGAATAACTGAGTTGGGAAATAAGCGTATATTAGAAAAAAAAAGGTTAGGAAAAAGAATATTTCCTAAATTGGCAAAAAATAAACGAGATGGCACTGATGATGATTAAAAAATGCTTTACCGCAAAGGGAAAAACAGAAAAACGAAATGAACTTCCTTATCGTTTCAGCCCAAAATAAATTCATCAGTGATAATTATAAATCAAGTCGAAAAATAGACATGACCTAAAAAAAAATAAAAATAAAATACCAATGGCCGACTCTGTGAAGAAAACTATGTGGCGTTACGCCTACCCATGATTCAATGCAGTAAATGGTAAACAAAAACAGACACGGCATAGCAGAAACGGTCATACGCTGGAGGCCATGCAAGCAGAGGGGTTCGATTATATAAACAAAATAGATCAGTATAAATCTATCGGAAAATATTGGGTTGGTGCATAAATATCAGGCGTTTTATAAACAATATTTATTATGAAAAAAAAAAAAAAACAATTCAGCAATAAGATTTTTAAATGATTATTCCGGAGCATATGATTATCGAAACGCATTTTTCTAACCTGAAAATAAAATATTTTTTATTAAAAATAGTAAACAAAGCATCAATTTTTATTAAGAAATAACGCCTACAAAAAAAAAAGCAAAAAAAAAAAAAAAACGCCTGATAATTATGCCCCAACCTAACATTTTTTAAAAAATATACTCTAGAATTTAACGCTAGTTTAGTATACGGGTATAATTAGTTAGTCAGTGGTTGTGCAGATATAGCTAGAACGTCATGGGATTGAACACTGCTGCTCTGCAAAATTCATTTGCCTCTTGAAATAAATGTACATCGTTTTATTGTTACAGCTCTTCTATTCCCCTAGTTCTCTCTCTCTCTCTCGCTCTCTCTCTCTCGCTCTCTCTCTCTCTCTCCAACTAAGAGGCGAAAGCATTGTAACGAAATTGAAAGGTTTGCCCGGGTTTTAACACTTCCTTTGGATTTATCGCTTGCAGTGGGTGACTATTTTTTATTTTTCCCCCAGTTTCACGAGGAAAATAACAAATTATGATGATGTCAACACGGTGTGGGGATACTCTGGATCACGTTTGAACAAAATCTTCATGGTCTGATGTTAATGTTTAAGTGTCCATTTTTAGATTTATACTCGCTGTATCCCAGGTACTGAGCACTTCTCACTATAAATATACAACTTAAAATGTTATTTTATTATATATATATATATATATATATATATATATATATATATATATCTAACAGTGATCTCATCTCACAATCCTCATAACTTGCTCCATATGTGGCCTCATTTCTAAATCACTAGCGGATCTTAAATGCCACTAAATATTATCGCACACAATTTCATAACTGAATCAATATGCTGGCAGATCCTCATACGTCGAAACCGACGGCAGAGTTCATTTTACATATGTATATATATATATATATATATATATATATATATATATATATATATATATTGATGCACGTTTCACTGAATAATACAGACAAGTGTTGTCTATTTATTTTATGTAAATTCTTTTCATTAAACGAAAAAAAGAAAATGACAATATTGAGACATATTTATTTTTTAATCCTATCTAAGCTTTCGGCTTACATAAGCCATTATCAAAGATGACAATTACATTACAATATATTAAGCAATACACGGACAAAACAGTGATGATAGTCTGTTTCTGTTTACATGAGAGATTTCCAAGCAACGCCGAACTCGTGCATATAAGACGCTGGAAGCGAAAATAGCACGGCATCTTATGACGTCAGACATGACCACAGGAGAGTGAATTCGAGAAGTATTAAGTATGGGAAGCCGTTGGTATAAACCAGTGGCTTCTGTTATCAATTATAGGCATTTAAGAATATTTGTAGAGATTTCATAGTTTATTCTGTTCAGGTTATCTTTCAACTGTTTTAGTGAATTTTGTGTGTGTGTGTGTGTGTGTGCGTAGCTTGGTGCAAGGGAAAGTCGTAAAGGAAATGAAGGGAAAGATGTGTACATACGTGCGTGCACGTTCCCCAGTAGTAAAGCATTTCCTCGTTGACTGGTATCTTACATTCGTGAGTGAAAAAGGAAAAAGATGTTGACAGAGAATGTCACTTCCTATATATAGGCTTAGGGAGCGTCCCCTAGCGGCGATTATTTAGAAAACTAAGTGCAGTAACTCCACAAGGCTGAGAACCAAACTCCCTCAGGACTGGTAGACCATCTATAATATCAAGCCCTTCATTAGTGACATAATGTTTTCTTGAGTATGATTAGTTTGTCTTTTTCTGTAATTATTTTCTCTATCTTTCATTTCAGTGACTCAGACTTCTTTTTTGGTTTATGAGTCACTACTTTAATGTACATGTTCCGGATGTTGCTGTTGACCGAAACCTGTTGAAGACAGTAGCCATTTGCACAGGGACGTGCGGATTGATGGGTCTTGTTACGAGCAGTTTTCAGAGCCTGTAGATTTTTCTGGCTAGGGTCTCGCTTGAATCCAATCAACGCGCTGCGCTAAGCGTTGATGATCGGCTCTTATATGGAGATATAGGCCTTTGCTCCTGTGCATCTTCTTTCCATAAGTCGAGATTGCAGCATTGTAGATGATGTTCCGACGGGAGTTCCATCTGTCTTCCACGCACCGTGATGAGTCACTGAGAAGTGACTCCATAAGCCTCTCTAAGAACTTCTGGGTTTTGTATAGATAGGCGGTCTTAATTCTCAACTAGCATTTCTTCTTTGAATAGTTGAGATCCTTAGGTTTTAAATTCGAACCTGCATCCTATCCTTTGTGGCCGAGAGGTTAGGCACGTCAAGCTAAATGACGGTTCCGTATAGGATGCAGGTTCGAATCCTGTAAAAGGACGAATATTTTCTATGAAAATTTCTCGGACATTCAGGCCGGTAAATGTTATTTAATACTGTTTATTATAACACAGAGCATTTACTAAAATACTTGTATCTATAAAAAGAATGTTAAGCATAAAAATGTCTTTAATAAATTGTCGGACTTTGTCCATTTTTTAAATTTGCGTTTCAGAAGATCAGGTTGTGGTCAGTGTCGCAATCTTCGCTGTGGTAAGCTCTGGTGTTGCAGACGTTGTTTAGAGTGGGGCGTCTGGTGATGACCAAGTCCAGCTGTTGACAATGATTTGACCTTAGATGTCTCTAAGGATAATTTGGGGCAAGCCCTGTCCCGAAAAATTGGTGTTTGTTTCACGCAGTTTATAGCAGCAGCTTCTAGGAGTCTTTAACCATTTTTATTGATTTTTTGCTACACCATGGTGACCTAACACGTTTGGCCATTACACTTGATCAGTGACCACCATCGCAGTATAAACGACCAGAAGGTAATTTTCATAGGATGGGATAAGCTTCGCAACGCTGTTGAGTGTAGACCTGGTCTTTGACTTTCGGCGTGGCGTGGCTTGGTTTGTTGGCGCATAGATACGGTTTACAATACCTTCATATCTAGAGAGGCGAAGGATGAGAATTCTCTCCGTTCTAATTTAGCAAGGTAGAGTCATACGGAGCACGGGGATCCTGACAGAGAATCCAATTCCATCGACTCCTCTCCCCTGCCAGAAGAAGGTTTAGTGTTCTTCCTTTAGCTATTCCCTGTCTCGAAGTCGTATTTCCTGTAGAACTGCAACTTCAATGTTCGTCTTTTTCGAGGGTCATTAGATCTACCTGTGCGCGCAGGTAGATCTGATTTCGATACGATTTTGCATTTTGCTCTTTGTTTGGTGTATAGTTATCGATATGCTTGTTAAGTTAGCAACTGTAAGTTTCAGGCACCCACTAAATCAGGCAGAACATGGCGAGTTAACACCCTACTGTTAGTGGAGCTTCCCGCGATGATGCGGGCGGTAGTTGACCAAGTCCCACCCACCGTCGAAAACTATCCGTGGCGCCCAACTACACATCAGTTGAGTATTGACTTATAAGTCGTAAAATGAGACGTTCCGTGTGGTGCTCTCATCGGGTTGTGAGACTAGAGCGACCCATCCAGGGCGCAGGTCTGGCCGAAGGTATATGGGGCCTGAGCGCTTCCCATAACCTGTCTGTATTTACTTCCATAGCATTTACCAGGTTTTGGATATAACCTCAAGACAGTGGAGTTTTAAAAGCAGGGTTTTCTTTCTCCTAGCTTGATTACGTTCCTGGGCTATCGATCTCCATCTAGCCGAAGCAGCTTGTTATGAGGCGCCAGTTGTTCTCTGGCTTGTAACTGGACTTAGTAATCAGTGGCTATTTGAGTCTCATGCCATGGAAATGCATTCGTAAATACACACACACACACACACACATATATATATATATATATATATATAAGTTTGTTTGTGGGTGGGTGTTTGTATGTGCGTCTGTTTGTGTGTGTTAATACAAATGTTTGTAGGAACAATCATTCAGGGGTTATTCTCTATTCTACACAGAGACCGGGCAAAATACAAACTGGATAACTTATAAGCTGTTGTGAGTAACACATAGAGTCCAACTCTGTGTAGACAAAATGGTCTCAAACACAAATTGGACCTGGGTAATCATTGGCTTGATCTGGTTTGCAATAATCATTTTTCACCTTTTGTCTTCTCTCCAATTTTAATATCCTACTTAAAAAAACAAAACAACCCTCTTAGTAGTATTTTAATACCGACGATTGACTTCTGACGAAGTGTTGGTCGAATGGTGCCTTAGGTTATATTTATTTTATTCGATTTTAGTCGAGGTTATATATAAATTATTCGATTTTAAATTATGATCCCTACCTTAAAACTTGTTTATATATATATATATATATATATATATATATATATATAAGACTTACTAAATTTAGCTGAGGCGCACGTAAAAAGAAAGTAATATACAACAATATACAAAACGATCAGCGCTAAAGATTACCATACAGTGAGGTAGTCATATATATATATATATATATATATATATATATATATATATATATATATATATATATATATATATATGCATGTTTCATTAAAACGACAGACAAGATATATATATATATATGTTTGTGTGTGTGTCCGTTTAAAATATGATATAGAAATTTTTTTATGAAATTTGTCAAATAGAAAACGTTTCATTGAAACGAGATTTGATTAGGCGTTTCGACTTTCTAGGCTTCATCAGACCCAAAAACGAAAGAAAGAATTGCGTTCATGTGTATTTGTGTGTATGCTTAAATACTGAATCATACTACATTTTCCCTAAGATGGCGTTTCTCTTGTTTAAAGGAGAAAGAAAATGAGTGACTTTAAAAAAAGGTCTTAATATTATTCTGTGTCTTTTCTTTGTAATTCTTAGTTCATGTCGGAATTTGTTAATATATTTTGACAGCTTTTTTTCTAATCGAATTAAAGGTAAATCCTCATTTCAATTTCAGAATGGCTGCAAAGCAAGAAATTCATATAGCCTTTTCTGAAATGAATCCAAAGCAAATCCTCATCAAATCCTTCAGAATGGGTTGAAAGTAAAAGATTTATCTGTTTTTAGGTCGACACGTGTTTTCAGTGTTGGCAATATGTGTCTAAAATGGGATATAGAATCACAACAAAGTTTTAAAGAAATATGACAAATGTAAAACGTTTAATTGAAACTAGATTTGATTACGCGTTCCAGGGCTTCATCATCATCATCATCATCATCATCATCATCATCATCAACATATATATATATATATATATATATATATATATATATATATATATATATTTGTATATGTGTATGTGTGCGTATACAACTTAAATAGTCAAAAACACGTGGGAAAAAATAATAACACTAAAACAAAACCCAATTGAACAAGGATAAAGCAGTCAGTGAAAGCCATTCGGGCATCGAGAATTCTGGAAAATTTTCTGTGCTCCCCTCCTCCTACAAAAAGGAAAGACCTAAAGAGGCA